TAATTTACTAATCCCTCAAAACCTACAGGACTTTTTGGGTCTTAACCCCCCCACCTGCTCCTTTTTTGTCTCACTCTTCTCTGACTTTGCATATTGTCTTTCCCTTCTCCCTAACCTTGTGCACATCCTTTTATTTGTACCTTTCATCCTCAGTATGTCTCTTCCCTCATATCTTTTCTCTTTCCTTTTGTTCTCTTTCATCTTTATTTCTGCTTATTGCTCTTATTTCTCCATTTGCTATTTTTTCACACATTTCCTCTATGTCTACTTTCTCTCTGTCTCTCTCTCTGTCTCTCTCTCTATCTCTGTCTCTCTCTCTCTCTCTCTCTTTCTCTCTCTCTCTCATCTCTTGTGTCCCAGCAGGCACTATTGATCTCCACCTGCCTTTTCATCACCTGTATATACTTTCTCTTGCTTTTTCTTAATCTGCTTTTGTTAACATTGATTTCTTTCTATTTTTCCAGTTTATTTTTTGCTATCCCTTTCTTCAACTGTCCATGACACAAAACCAAAGTACACTTTAATGTCCTCTTTGTGGCTCCAGATGAATTATTCTTCCATGTCTGTCTTTCAGAATATACAGAATACATCCAGAGACTCTACATTCCAATACCCAGGCCACGTAGAACTGCCATTTTCATTGTATCTTGATTGTGTTACAATTTTATAAAAATGTAGGAAATACACAAGTAGTTTTGCAGTATTTATTTCTGCACACAAGACTACTAAAGCCAGGCTGTGTGATCCTTAACCCCAAATCTATATGTCTTCCTCACTGATTTTAGAATTATTGAAAAAAAATGCTTAAAACTATTTCAAAACTCAAACATTTTTCTGTTGACTATTTGTGAACACAAAGGAAAGCCTGCCCATCAGCCTTGCTGCGCTCAATTATAACAGCTGCAATAAAGTGTACCTTTTGGCAGCAACACTCATATGATTTTGGAACTTAAATAATGATTTAGACAAATGCCAAGGAAGAAAGTTTCCCACATGATTTAGCACCTTCTTCAAGAAATTAGAAAATTAACCACAAAATAGACCAAAGAAGTAACAAACTCATATAAATAAGCACAAAAATATATGAGAGTTAGAATCTAGAAGCTGGTCCATTGAAAAAAAAAAACATAAAATAGATTTAGCATCTAGCTAAACTAACTAAGGTGAACAAAAAGAACAAAATTCAAATACACAAAGTAAGAATTGGTTAAGGGCAAAATAATACAGAAACAGAAAGAATTACAGGATCACAATAGACTGCTTTGTTCAATTATGGCCAAATAAATTCTGAAAAATGGGATGGAATAAATAATATTCAGAGAAAAGATAATGTTAAAATTGTTAACATTGACTTAAGAAAAAGAAAGATCTAAATAGACTGATATTCAGGATTGATATTCTAGATGATTTTAAGGCAGGGCTTCCAACAATCAAAACTGAATGTTGCTGTACATGTGCATTTGGGCTGAATATCAATCTTGTCAACAGCCATAGAAAAAAAATTTTGACAAAGAACTACCTTAGAAGAGTCATAAGGTACTGATGATTAATGTTCAACATCACTAATCATCAGAGAAATTCAAATTAAAATGTCAATGAGATATCATCTCATCCCACTTAAAATGGCTTCTATTCAAAAGACAAGCAATGATGAATGTTGGTGAGGATGTGGAGAAAGGGGAACACTCATGCATTGTTGGAAGAAATATAAATTAGTGCAGCCACTATGGAGAACAGTATGGAGGTTCCTCAAAAAAACAAAAGCAGAACTGCTATATGTTTCATCAATCTCACTGTTGGGTATACACCCAAAAGAAAGAAAATCAGTATATCAAGGAATATTGCACTCCTATGTTTATCACAGCACTGTTACAATAGCCAAAATTTGGAATCAACCCAAATGTCCATCAATAGATGAACAAATGAAGGAAATGTGGTATATATACACAATGTAATATTATTCAGCTATAAAAATGAATGAAATCCTGTCATTTGCAACAACATGGAGGGAACTGGAGGCTATTATGTTAAGTTAAATAAGCCAGGTCAGAAAGACAAATACTGCATGTTCTCATTCATATTCAGAAGTTAAATAAATATTGAACTCATGGAGATGGAGGATGGCTACCAGAAGTCAGGAGGAGTGGTGAAGAGTGAAGAAGGAGGGAGGGATAAAGAGAAGATGGTTAAATGGTTATATATATACACATATATACACATACACACACATATAAATATATATACATATATAACTACATATATACGGAAAGAGAGAGAGAGTTTGGTAGGAGGAGTAAGATCTGATGCTCAGTAGCACAACAGGGCAACTATAGTTAATAATTTATTGTATATTTCAAAATAAAAGGGTGGAGTTGGAATGTTCCTAACACAAAGAAATGACAAATTATTAGAGTGACAGATACCCTAATTACTCTGATTTGATCATTATACATTGTATGCTTGTGTTAAAATATCACGTATACTCCATAATTATGTACAACTAGTATGTATTCATAATAATTAAAATTTTAAAAAGAGGGAATTCTAACATAGCTTGAAAGAGTAGATTATTCTGAGCTTCTGAAATTATTTTGGAACACAGAAAAAAAGTTCCAAAGAATAACAATGATAGCAAAACTTGACAAAAATTAAACAGGAAATACACAATTATAAACAAATATTACTTAAGACTACTTATGAAAAATTTCTAGATCAATCATTAACAAGAGGATCTAACAGGACACTATTAGACTATTATGTAATAATTAAGAAGAGTTTTGTTTCATCCTGTATTGCTGCTTGAGAAACATCCCAAAATCTAGTGACTTAAAATAATAATGGGCTGGGCGCAGTGGCTTATGCCTGTAATCCCAGCACTTTGGGAGGCCAAGGCGGGTGGATCACCTGAGGTTGGTAGTTCGAGACTAGTTTGGCAAACATGGAGAAAACCCATCTCTACTAAAAATACAAAATTAGCCAGGCGTGGTGGTGCATGCCTGTAATCCCAGCTACTCAGGGGGCTGAGGCAGGAGAATCGCTTGAACCCAAGAGGCAGAGGTTGTGGTGAACCAAGATCGCACCATTGCACACCAGCCTGGGTAACAAGAGCAAAACTCCATTTCAAATAATAATAATAATAATAATAATAATAATAATACAATAATGATCTGCTGTTCTAATCCTGTAGGTCAGGAATTGGGGTAGGGCTCACTGGGGATTGCTAATCTACACACTAAACAGTATTGGCTGAGCTCATTCATGCAGGTGCATTAAGCTGAGAGCTGGGCTGGGCTGTATGGTCCAAGATGGCTTCCTAGTATGTCTAAGGCCTTGTCGTGGGCTGCCAGCTGGGGCACTGATTCTTTTCTATGTGGTCTTTCTCTTCAGGTGACCTCTCATCCCCCTTTCTCTCTCACGGATCTCACTGATGATTACTGACATTGAACGTTGTTGTATATACTTACTGCTAATTGTATATCTTCTTTAGAAAAATATCTATTCAAGTTGTTAACCTATTTTTAGTAGATCTGAGAGTTTTTTGGCTATGGAATTGAAGAAATTCCTTATATATTTGGAAATTAAACCCTTGTCATAAATATGGTTTGCAAATATTTTCTCCTAATCTGTAGAATGACTTAATTTTGTTGATTGTTTATTTTGCTTTGCATTAGACTTTTAGTTTGATGTAGTTCTAATTGTTTTTGTCACCTGCAGTTTTAGTGTCATATTCAAGAAAACATTGTAAAGACAAATGTCAAGAAGTTTTCGTTCTTTGCTCCTTTCTAGGATTTTTAGTATCATGTCTTACATTTAAGTCTTTAATCCATTTGGATCTGCTTTCTGTGCTTGGTGTAAGAGTGCAATTTCATTCTTACACATGTGGATATACAGCTTTCCTAGCACCATTTATTGAAGAGAATCTTTTTTCCCTGTTATATATTCTTGGAAACCTTGTCAATGATTAATTGACCATATGTGCATGAATTTATTTCTGGTCTCTCTATTCTGTTTCATTAGTCTATACGTCTGTCTTTATGCTAATACCATACTGTTTTAATTACAGTAGCTTTGTAATATATTTTGAAATCTGAAAGTGTGATGCCTGCAGGTTTATTCTTCCTTCTCAAGATTGATTTGGCTATTCACAATCTTTTGTGTTCCCATATGAATTTCCGAATTGTTATTTATATTTATTTAGAAAATGCCATTGTGATTTTGATAGCATTGAATCTGTGAACATTTTAGCAAGATTAATTCTTTCAACACAGGAATACAAACTGACATTCATTTATGTATTCTTTATTTCACCAAGGTTTTGTGGTTTTCAATCTAGAAGTCGTTTACATCCTCATTTAAGTTTATTCCTAAGTTTTTTATTCTTTTTTGTACTATTGTAAATGAAACTGTTTTCCTAATTTCTCTATCGTATAGCTCACTGTTAGTGTACAGAAATGTAACAGATTTTATTTGTTGACTCTGTATCCTGCAACTTTAATGAATTCATTAATTACTTCTAAAAGTTTTTTGGTGGAGTCTCTAGGGTTATATATATATAAGGTCATGTCACCTGAAAACAGGGACAGTTTTTCTTCTTATATTCTGATATGGATGCCTTTTTTCTTGTCTAATTATTCAAGCTAGGACTTTAACCAATAGAAAACTGGTTAAATAAATTATGATATATCCATAATAAGGAAAACTTGTCTGTTTAAAAAATGATAATAATTAGAAAATTTTCCATGTATTGGAATGGAAAAATGTACCTGAAATCAGGTTAAATGACAAATGCAAGATGCCAAATACTATGTTTACTATGCTAACTTTCATGTTAAAATGAAGGGGAAAAAATTAAAAATACTAATAATGTATTATATTTGCATTTTATAGACCCTGAAAGGACACACAAGAAATTACTGATGTTATTACCTAGGATAGGGAGAGATGAGGGGGTAAATCAGGGAAGGAAGGGTCTATAATCTAAAGAGGCTTTGACTTTTTACCTTTAATATACAGAAAGTTGGAGCATTTTTCATGAAAGAGAATATGTATAAGAGTTCTTAAAACTGGGGAGATCCTACAAAGGAAAGAGAATCACATATTATACTAGACTTTGCAAACACAGTAATATACTGTGGCAATAGTTATAAAGGATAATGATTTTACATATTAATCCAAATTACTCCTTATTTGTGGAGGCAAATACAACATATTTTCAAATATTGAGCACATATTTAAAACAATTGATAATACCTTAGTCAAATGAAAAATAAATAAGAATAAATACATAAGAAAGTATATATTCAGGAATTGAATAAAATTTACAGTTAAGTTTAAATTTACAGATGCATTTTCAGCAACTATTTAGTCCAGCTAAGTTTATTCACTGGGTTAAATTCCTCTAATCCAGGAACAAAAGGCTCTTACATTAGATTGTAAAAAGACACAAAGGCAAAGCCAATCAGATGTAACGTATAAAACAATATATAGCAGGTACAATTTACAACAACAACAAAAAATTCAGAATGGTAAAATCAAAATCAGTGTGCTATCTATTAATCAATCAATCACAGCCTATCAGGAATAAATTGCTCAACAGAACACCAAACACATCAAAATATGAATTAAAAATACAAGGAAAGCTGACTTTATAGTAAATGTATTAAAATAAATAGGAAAAAATATAACAATATATTCTTCAAATGACTTGGGTTAAAAAGTAAATAAAAGTTTCTGTCGTGATTAAAGCTTTACTAAGAGATTTACAATGTAAAATAGGGCCTGTGTTATATATCAGGAGTGATTTTTCATCTATTTTAAAAATCTGTCTAAAAGTGACTTTTAACATCTTAACATTCTGTGTATCTTAAAATGACAACAGGGACCCCAAGAATCTGAAAGAAATCTACCACTGGAGAAATTGTAAATAAATTTGAAAATTATTCACTTTAATAAATCATTCCTAAGTCCAATGTTTCCTGGAGTCCTTTGAAATAAATTTATGAGGAGTTGAAACATAAAATCTAATTAGTCTCATAACTACCAGTTTTTGAAGACTTACTATGTTCAAGACTCTAACTTAGATATGTAAGATACATATCAAGTATGTATATATATGTATGTATACACACATAAAATAAAGTCTTAAAATTTTGAATATTGAATGATTTGGTTTCTGTTTTAAGTTAGTATTTATCTCACAAGAATTACATTAATATTGATTTGTATTATGTAATAATGCCTATTACAAACATGAAGAGTTTCGGAGAAGGGAGGAACTTGCTCAATGATAGACCACCTAGGAGGTGATCGAACCAAAATTTGAATTGAAGAAGAGAAACTGAGTTAACTAATGTGGCAAATAATTATCTATAATTTCTGTGATTTTGAATTGTAATGTATTAGAATAATAAAACCAATAGTACTTCTCTTTACCTTACAGTGAAATGTAGAACTTTCTTTTTCATGGACTCCAGCTTTTTATTCGGATATTTTGTTTGATCCTTTTTTATTGATGGTTTCTTCAAAGGAAGAACACGGGCCTCAATGGGGGGAAAGAATAGTTTGGAAAGAGTGTCGGCAATTCTCCACCCAATATATTTGGAGAAAACTTCTTCTCCTACATTTGATGAGATGTTTGTACTATACCTAGTGAAAGGATCGGTTGGGTCATTTAACTCAGCCTGTTGAAAGAAACAAGAAGGAATCAGTTGAAACAGGATTAAATGGGAGAAAAAAAATCATATATTATTAAATTTTTTAAAGTATCTTTATTTTCTTTGACTAATATTGCATTTTTCCTGTTAAGTAAAAATAATCTTGATTAAAAAATTGCAGTTTTCCAAAAGATTTCAAAAACCAAAATAGCAAATTTCAGTGAAATAAATAAACATTAATGCATCCAGTCTTGAAACTCTGAAAATTTAATAAGGTAATTTTTATTTTTAATTTGATATACTTGCCATGTAAGAATTTCATACACTTTCTGGAATTTTATTTAATAGGAAATTAAGCAATCAGTTGAAGTAATGTACATTGTATTAAATCAGACTCTTTTTTTTTACACACAATCTAAATTGTTCTTGATATCAACAGAGCATTTTTTTTTTCTTTTTTGAGAAGGAGTCTTGCTCTGTCACCCAGGCTGGAGTGCAGTGGCACAATCTTGGCTCACTGCAACCTCCATCTCCCGGGTTTGAGCACTTCTCCTGCCTCAGCCTCCTAAGTAGCTGGAACTACAGGTGTACACCATCACGCCTGGCTAACTTTTGTTATTTTTAGTAGAGACGGGGTAGCATCATGTTGGCCAGGCTGGTCTCGAACTCCTGACCTCAGGTGATCTGCCTGCCTCAGCCTCCCAAAGTGCTGGGATTACAGGCATGAGCCACCATGCCCGGCTAAACAGAACATTTTTATAGAGCAAAAATTTTAAGTGAAAAGCAAATAAGAGCTTTGTATTTAGCTTAAATTGAAGATATTTAAGATTTTGATTTTGATTAAATTAAATATGTTCTAACACCAAAGAGTAAAAAAATTACACAAATTTCCCATTATTTAAGCAATATTTATTCAAGAAAAAGCTATTTTCTGAAATTTCCTATTCCTGTTTGTTAATGTCCAGGACCGCTTTTTAATTACTTCTTTTAAAATGGCCAGAGGGATATTTTCTCTGGCTATAATCAGTAATAATAAATGAAAATCTAAGTAAAATGGCATATGTTACCAATTTTTTTATGTTCATGATATGTACATACTATTAACTCCTTTTCTTGTAAATAAGTTGGATACTGCCCTTTATCATTTGTTTTTACATTTTCATTGAGTATTATCTGTCTTCAGGTAGCTCATTACCAGTCACTCAGGATTCATTTTAGATGCATATCAATTTTGCGATACAAAAGATAGAAATAGAAAATGTTTTTCTATATATGAACATCTAACTTAACCTCTTTCAGCTTCCAAAATTAGGCCTGGCTAAATTAAATTACTGATGAAAGATTTATTATTGAATTATTTAGACAAAAGTATAGTAGAAAAAAATGAGTACAGTCTCAGGATATAGACTGAAAGAAAATCAGTTAAAGCAATGAGAAAAATAGCAAAAGGCAAGTATGCAAATATGTGTCACTGTGAAAGTTATAGAGGGCTACATAACTATATAAAGTTATATAGTCAAAGAATAACATGAAAAAAACATTTACAAAGGAGAAGGTAAAAATCATGCAAAGTAAGCAAGCACATGATTCAGTAATCCCACTACTGGGTATATCCAAAAGAAAATCAGTATGTCAAAGACAGAGCTGCCCTGCCATGTTTATTGCAACATTACTCTCAATAGCCAAGCTATGATATCAAGCTAAGTGTCCATCAACAGATGAATGGATAAATAAAATGTGGTATATATACACAATGGGATAGTATTGAGCCATAAAAATAGAAGAAAATTCTACCATTTGTAATGACATGGATGAACCTGGGGGACATCATGTTAAGTGAAATAAACCAGGCACAGAAAGACAAATACCACATGATCTCACTTACATGTAGAATCTAAAATGTTGATCTTATAGAAGTAGAGTGGGATGGTGTTTAACAGGGGCTGATGGGTGAAGGGCTTGGGAGATGTTGGTCAAAAGATTTCAGTTAGATAGAATAAACAAATTCAAGAGATCTAATGTACAACATGGTGACTATAGTTAATACAAATACATCGTATCTTGAAAAATGCTAAGAGAGTAGATGTTAAGTGTTCTCACAAAAGAAATAATAACTATATGAGGTTATGCATTTGTTAATTACCTCAATTTGACAATTTCACAGCATATATATATTTTAAAACATCATGTTTTACACAATAAAATTACATGATTTTATTCTTCAGCGTAGAAAAAGAAAATAAAATGACACCACCAAAAAAGAGCTCCTACATTTTTTTACTCAACATATAGTACAGTATTGCACAAATGAAGATATTATGGTGAACTCTGGAATTACTAAGAGAGTTATGAATGAATAAATGAATGAGTAAACAAATGGACCAAAAAACTGATGTCTTCTCATGATACACTTTTTGGTAAAATATACTGTAATCAAAGATAACATTAACCTGTGAGGCAGGAGAATAGGGTCTGGAGAAAGGGAACCTAAAGCCTATTCTCACTGACTTTCTAGAACTAAATCAAAACAAAAACCTCAACTTTCCATGCCCAAGTTAAAAAAGGACCAGGGGCTACTCTCCTTGCAACCCCCACGTTTCTGTGTGGCAGATGAAAAACTGAAAGTACCTCTGTTTGGTCCTTTCCTGCAACCAATCAGACTCATAATGGGTTAAGTCTTTCTTTGCATAGGATTTGGAATTTATTGTTCTCCTTTCCCCTTTTCCTATCTGTTTCATATAGGGGAGTCTTTTTCTCTCTCTCTCTCTTTTTCTGGCTTTTCCTTTCCAACTTGGGATGCTTGGTGGGCAGTGCCTAAACACAGAGGCAACTGCAGGTTACTGGCTGGGGCCAATCTCTGGAGAAATGGAAAACGTTTTCATGTAGAAGCCCTTGACTGCTACCACCCAGTTCTAAGGGACCTGAGTCCTTTTCCTTTTTTTCTTTCAGTATTTCTGCAGCTGTTTCCTAGTAGCTCCTTGGTATTTGAGGGCAACTGGCCAGGGCCATGCTCCAGTGTTGTCTGAAGGCGAAGGAGTGCATGGGGATAGCTGCCTTGCCTGGAAGGCGGATGGACTCTTTTCTATCTTTTCTGGTTATAGTCCCTGATCTCTATGTGTGACACAATTGACAGTGGCACAGGGTGAACTCATGTTTCAGGCCACTTAAACCTTCTTTTCTTATAGTCCCTGATTCCTACATGTGACACAATTGGCAGCAACAGCTCCCCCAGAGTGAACTCACACACATTTCAGGTGACTTGAGCCTTCTTTTTTCATGCTAAATTCTTCCCTTCCCCTATTTGACTGGTCAAGAACAAAAGAAACCCACCAACTATGCAAAGAATGTTATAAAGAAAAGAGATGACTGGTTGTTTAAAAAGAGGGACGGGATGTTTAGGACAAGTCAGAGGGTCTGGGAATGTTGTAGATGGTCTGTGTGGGGCATAGGGGGGGCATTCATGAAAAGGAATTTATGCAGGAACTGATGTACAATCTAATGTGGATTTCTTGCCTAAATTTAGAGAGTAAAAGAGTTGCTTTAAGTGGGATAGGAAAACCTTAAGGAACATTCATAATGGGTTAGTGGTGGAGGGAATGATTCCAAAGCAATGCCAGCACCCATCTAATGTCGGAGATGTCTGACAGACTAAGACAGGGCTCAAAAGGTGAATGCCCCTGGGGACTCCAGTCAGGACCTAGAATTTTTCCAAGATGCCTCAAGCATCACTCGGGTCACTTGATAAACCCTCCACTATTCAAAGTCCTCCTCTCTTTTCCAGACCACTATGGGCAACTCTCCATCTACTCCACCTGATTCCACTATGGGCAACCCTCCATCTATTCCACCTGATTCCTTGCTTGGCTGCATCCTCCACCATTGGAATCAATTTGATACTGATAATCTAAAGAGAAAACATATATATACATATTTTTTCTGCAATGCTGTTTGGCCTAATTATGAGCTGCCCAGCCTGGAGCAATGTGCAGTCAATGGTAGCCTTAATTATGACACCATCCTGCAATCAGACCCATTTTGCAAGATGCAGGGAACTGGTCAGAAATACCATATGTACAGACCTTCATGACCCTATACCAAAACCTAACAATCTGCAAAACTCCCAGAACCAGCCCCCCCAAAGGAAAGTCCTAAGGCAGAACTAGATATTACAGATGATCCTCTTTTACAAGGGCCACCTATCTTTCGGGGTGAACAGCATCTGTCTCCATACAGCCCCTTGCCAAGTGCTCTTGAGGCTAAACCCCGAACACTGGGAACCCTACTAAGTCCCCATCACACTCAAAGGAGAACATCTTATTCAACTCTCCCTGGAGCCCTGCTACTCCTTAGGGAAGTAGCAGAAGCTGAGGGGCCAGTCCTAGTGCAGGTCCCTTCTCTATAACTGATATACAACAATGTAAGTAAAAGCTAGAAAACTATTTCAAGAATCCCAGGAAATTTACAGAAGCTTTCCAGACTTTGGCCTTAGCCTTTGCTCTCTCATGGAGAGATGTTCAATTCATTCTAGCAACCTGATGCACCCCCTTGGAAAAAAGATCAAATCTTCGAGGCCGCCCGCAGGGAAGCAGATGATTTATTCACCTTAAACCTTCAGGGTCCTCACCTGGGCCCAAACACAGTCTCCACTATTGATCCTAATTGGGACTATAATACCCCCATGGGAATGAACAACTGGGCTAAATTTCCTTGGAGGAATGAGAAAGGGAATAACTAAGGTAGTAAATAATGTAAATGAAGGGGGGTTACACAAGCCAAGGAGGAAAATCCAGTCATGTTTTATGGCAGGCTGGAGGAAGTCTTTACAAAATATACTACTCTGGACCCTTCTTTTTCCAAAGGCAAAATATTAATGGCACAGCATTTCATTAGCCAGTCCACCACAGACATTAGACTTAAGCTCCAAACGCTACTGATGGGGCCATGAACTAATCAAAATCAGGTTTTTGATACTGCTCTTATGGTGTACAACAATCGTGACCTGGAGGAAGGAAAACAGGAACAGAGTG